GTTGACGTAATAAGTCCGTCCTGTCACAGGATCAGTGCGATGTGATGTAAATTTATTGAAAGTTTCCTCTTTTCGCCAAGAAGAGCGCAATTAAAAACCAAATTGAATGAAGCGTAAATAGCCTCATTTTTCGCGCAAGATATACAAATATAAAAAGTTAGAACAATCAGTTAGTAAGAATTTTATTCTGAAAAACTGATAACGCAATTTCTGAATAAGCAACAGGCAATAAATTAAGAGAGCAACCCTAGAGCAATTTGCCGCTAGTTGCGAAAATACAACGAACATAATGGATCACAGGAGCCTACAACTGCTGGCAGCTGAAGGCGAACATAGAAACAATAAACAACAAAACAACCTCTAGAAGATGCATAAAATATTTGAAAAACAGTTAATGATGTCGTATTTTCTACAGACCACCGCAAAGGTAGCTCTAACTCATTGCAATAACTCGAAGAAAACCAAAGACAACAAAACATTAGTGATAAATAAATAAAACAAGAAGCCAGCGGCATTAGCGCTGACTGACTAAAAAGCGAAACCAACACAAAACTAATAAACAGTGGAACCAGGGTGAAAAGATATTTCCGTCGGAACAAATCAACAGTCCAAAATAGGTACTTCCAGAGATACGTCACGAAAATACCGATGCGCAACAGCCATTTTGGCAGATATTCGTCTCTTAGGATCATAAAGCAGTAAAAGCTAAAACAATATGAGAAATCAGACGCTACATAACACCTAAGACTAATTTAAAATAAACAATTTGAAGAAAGTAACACTGTACCAAGCAGGACTATGAGGACAAGTCGGTTAAAAAATTATAGGATCCATCGCATGTGGTTTAGAGCGCAATTACACATCCGAAATAGTTTATTATAAATCATATTATGCAAGAGTCTAACACCATGTTTATATAGCTGCCCAAATTTCCATGTCAGGCTGAACCACAGGGACTCTATTTCTAACGTTCACATAACACTACACTGATGCACACAATTTTTTTTTACATTTTCTGTTTGCATTTTGCACTGGATTTTAGTAAGTTATTGGGCTTGTCAAGGCGAATTGCAACCGTAGGACGCAACGCACAAAAGAGCATGGCATGTGTCTCTCTCGCTCTGATATAACCACGTCAAAATACCATATCATCCCAACAAACTGGAGGTCACTGAGTTGCTACCTGTTTCTTGGCTGCTGTCACCGAAGCACGGCAAATTCACTGCTCAAAGAAATTAGCAGTCAAAAAGAAAATTTCATACCGTGAAAACGTGTCGAATGAAACATCTAAAATACAAAGCAAACTACATATGCACTGTACCACGGCTAGAAACAGCTTCTCAAAGTTTCATGTTGCGGGGATGAATCGAAAGATTGAATGTACTTAATAAATCAAAACAGGGGTTTTGAATTTCTCGCGAATTCATCATATAGCTTCATCACACTAACATGAAACATTCCGAATCCATGTATGAACAACCAGAATTCGTGAAAAATATCCCTCAGAGACACACGGTCTCACAAACTTCATTCGATAGCTTTCCTACTGATAATATCACTTTCCGAGTACTGCGCTGGTAAAAAACCTGAAACAACGACGCAAGTGAGGAACACAACATTTAACCGTTACCTTGCTTAAGCAGGATTAGGAAATAATCAAAAATCCCATCAGTCAATATTGCGGTGTAGAAAAGGAATCGATTACTTCTGGCATAAATTAGCAGATCTGTGTTATAAGGCGTATAAATTTATAACAGTGGTAAGCTGACAGTCCATCTTTGCCTCCATTTATTGTGATTTATGATAATGCATAGTATCAGTGCTGTTTGAAACGTTCGATTCAAATAAGATCGTTCTATCACGTTTGATGCCCAAAACAACAGAAACAAGGTTTTCCGTTTAAGGAAC